CAAGTGGACCCCATTCCGTTCGCACTCGACTTCTTGAATCCGGGCCTGGTATTGCTTCTGAAGAGCATGCAGCACTCTGGGCCAGCCTTGCCTGCTCCAAGCGCCGGACGATGTGGTGCTTTGCTTCCAGTTCCAGACTTCGTGAATCCGGCACCCTCTGTCTTGACACACGGCTTCCTGTGACTCGGAGCATCTCCGTCGGTCTTGGATCACCTGAAGCCCGGCTTGCCGTTGTCATTGCAGTCCCCCAGCCATGTTGAGGCTTTGTCATCAGCTATCAGCTTTGTTTGCCTCGAAGCAGTCTCGCCTGCCTTGGACTGTGTCAATCCAGAGCCGGCCGTTTCTGCACGCAGTTTTGTTTGCCTTGAGCTGCCCTTGTCAGTGCTGGACTTGTTGAATCTTGGGAGCCTCTCGTCAACTCGATCGCCCCTTCGCTTCGGCTTTGCGATGTTCCCTTGTGGACAGACTTGTTCGGGTGTTTCACTGCCTTTGCCGGAGCACGTAAGTCCAGGCTCGTTGGCGGCGCCGAGAAGCTCTGGGCGACTTGGAATCCTTCTGCTGGTCCCGGATCCCCTCAGGCCAGGGTTAGCCATGCTTTTAAAGAGCTCCGCACGGCCGGGCTCTTCCACGCTGCTCTTGGGCATCGGACGGCCTGGCGTTTCCACGTCTGCTCTGGATCTTGCGCATCTCGAGCCTTTTCTACCCGTGAGGTCGTTAGCGCAGGCGGAACCTTCGCTTTTCGCAACGGACTTCCTTAGCTTGGGGCCGCTGCTGCCAGCTCGAAGTGTGAGTTGTTCCGGACCAGCGATGCTGGCACCAGATCTCCTCACTCTTGGGTTCTTGCTGCTCTTGCGCTGTCTTGCACGTTCGGATCCCATCCTGTCGGCCTCGCAGAGAGGTGCGTTAGGCTCTTCGGCCTCTGTGCCAGACCCCCTTCATCTCGGAATTTCCTTCTTTTTGAGATCCTTGAGCAGATCTGATCCCATTTCGTCTCTCCTCGGCGGCACCCGTCTCGAAGTACCCCTTCCTGTGTCGGAGCACGTGCTTCTAGGCTCCGTGCTGCTGCCACGGTCTATGTCGCGCCTGGACAGCTGCCCTTCAGCGCTTGACCTTGCTCAACCTGGTAGTTTGCTGCTGCCTCGGGGTCTCAGCCGGACAGCTTCTGCACTGTCAGTCACGGGAAGCTGCCGACCTGAGCTCACGGCTTCGGTTCTGGATCATGCTTTCTTGGACTCTGCTTCGCCGCTCAGGAGCCTTTCCTGCTCGGGTGTTTTGCTTTTTGCCCTGGACCTTGCGAGCACGGACCCAAGCGCGCTGTTGCGAAGCTCCACAAGGTTGGGCCCGTCTCCCTCGGTGCTGGACCCTCTTCGGACAGAAGTGCCTCCTTCGATGCAAGATTCCATGCGTCTTGAGCTGCCGCCCCCAGTCCTGGGATCGTCCCGGTGTGGCTCTGTGTCCTCGCTGCCAGTCACAAGCTTCGCGAGCCTTGAGAGTTCCCTCTTCGTGCGAAGCTCGGCCCAAGTGGAGTTTGCCTTGCCGGCGCCTGATTCTCTGAACCCCGGATTGCTGCTGCCTCTCAGGAGCTGCGCATGCTCGGGAGCAACCTCAGTCGCTCTAGACCTCTTGAAGCTTGAGTCTTCGATGCCCTTGCAAACGCACTCCCAAGTGGCATCCAGGTCGTTCGTCTTCGGATTAGTGTGCCCTGCCCTTTCCACCTCGCTCTTGGACTGTGCGACTGCCGGGCCATCGCTGTTGATGCGCTCCTTTAGTCACCTGGGGCCACCTCTATCTGCACTGGACTCTCTGAAAACAGGTTTGCCTCTGTCTCTGCGACAGCTTGCGCAATTGGGCATCCCGTCGCTCGTGTCCGGTGCGGCCTGTCTCGAATTCAGTTCGTTGATTCTGGATTTCGCCTCGCTAGGCTTGGCAGTACTTGCAAGGAGCCTTTCGCGAGCTGACAGCAACCTGCCAGCTTTGGACCTCCTCCAACTTGGCTTCTCCTCATCTCCTCGAATGCACATGTGCTCGGGGTCGCCGTTCCCCGTCTCTGGTCGTGTTCAGATGGCTCTGTCAGCGTCGGCTCCCGATTGCGTCTTGACGGGTTCCGCGATGTCTACCAGGCAGCTCGCTCGGTCGGGATCCTTGGCTTCGGCATTGGATTCTGTTGAAACGGGTTCTTCGATGTCCATCAGGTCCCATGTGCGGCTCGGGCCTGCCTTGCTAGCTCCAGACTTTCTTCATTTGGGCTCCTTCTCACCTGTTCATAGCGCAGGAAGGGCGGGACCTGCAATGTTAATCTTGGACTCCCTGAGTCCGGGCCTATTCTTGCCTGTGCAAAGTTCTGCCACTGTCGACTTCGCACTGTTGCTTGGAGCAAAATTGAGCAAGATCATTCGTTTGTTGTACACACTTGTCAGTATGCAAGAATACCCACTTCCAGCCAGCCCACTGAACCCGAGGAGTAGAAAAACAAGTATCACAATAAATAATAAGTTTGAATAGATTTAAGCCAGCACAATAGTTACTATACATATACAGGTAGATATATGTATACATATGAGCCATATGTGTATATCTGTATGTGTATATATATATATATGTATTAATATATATGTATGAAAATGTATAATGTCATACATAGATATCATACAAAAGATAATAAGTTAAATAGATCCAACACAACAGCACGTGGTTCAGTAAACAAGTAAATACACGTATAAACAAGCAAATATATGGATCCATAAACAACACATAAATTAACTATGCGCACACACAGATATCTATATATATATATATGTACAGGTATATGTATATGTATATGTATATGTATGTGTATATATATATATATATATGTTTATGTGTGTATGTATGTAAGTAGTGTATATTAGTATCGTGTCTGGAAAGACACAAGAACATCCATTGCATGGTCCGGCCGTGACCCAGGTTCGTGCTCGACCTTTTGCATCTTGGCTCTTCCACCTCATCGAGGTCACCTACCCAGCCAGGTCTCGTCTTGCTTCTCAGCTGCAGTTCAACTCGGACACATACATAGACATAGACAGTATGTAAGGGCTTGGGGTGTAGGGTTCTGGGATAGGGGTAGAACCAGGGCCATCCTGCAAAAAGGCAGGTCATGTGGAGGTACTTCTTGGTCATGCCACGTAGCGAGGCAGAGCTTCAGCCCTGAACAAAGCCCCAAAGATGCCCAGGACGGCGCTCGATTCCACGCGGTTCGGGCCACCAGTGCTCCTGCGGAGCTACCGTCGTGCAGGCCTGGCGCTCCCGTTGTCAGGAGAATGCAGGCTTGGTTCTGCGCCACCCGTGCCGGATCACGTCCAGCTGCATAGCTGCACTTCAGTTAAGGGGTCCCTCCGAGTCAACTTCTGAAAGCTGGACCAGAGCTTTTGCATGTGACTGCACCGAGGTTAGAGCTGTCCCTTTCACTGCGAAGCGCCTGTCATCTTGGAAGTGTGTCGTTGGCCCCTGACTTCCTTCACCTGGGTCCAACTGTGCCGCTTCAAGGCTTCGGTCACCTGGCAGTCTCTACCTCGGTGCCTACTTGTGCCCGTTCCGGTTTCCTTTCGTCGACACTCGATTTTACTGAAGTCGAGTCCTTGTCATCACCGCGAAGCTTCGGCCGGTTGGGATCGCTGTCGCCGGCTCCGGACCTTTTGAAGTCGGGCTTTGTGTTGCCTTCGCGCTCCTTTTGCCAACCAGGGCCCTTGGTGCTTTCGCCAGACAGTGGGCGCTCAGGGCTCCTCCTGCTGACCTTGGATTACGTGCATCCGGGCAGCGCAGTGTTCCCAAGAAGTTCTGCTTGGTCGGGGGCGTTGGCTTCAGTTTTGGACTTTCTGAGCTTGGACAGCGCGCTGCTCGTTCGCTCCCTGACTCGCACGGGCTTGGCACTTCCCGCGACGGACTCCCTGCGCCTGGGCCTGGCCACGTCTCTCAGAAGTTCTGCCCGCATCGCACTCTCGTCTCTGATGTTTGGCCTGGGAAGCTCTGGCCCGAGCCCGTCGATTTTGGATGCCACCAGCCCAGAGAGCCCTTTGTCCACTCGAAGCCTCACAAAGTTGGAGGTGTTTTTGATGACCCCCGACTTTGCAAACATGGGCCTGCTTCTGCCTGTGAGAGCCTGCGCAAGGCTTGGCGCTCCGCCCCCTACCTTGGACTGTTTGAATCCAGGGTTCTTGCTTCCGCTTCGAAGCCCCAGCCGCGCAGATCCCGCCTCACCAGCCTCCGGCCGGCTGCAGCTTGGATTCTTCTTGCCGGTCCCCGACATGTTGCATTTAGACTTCACGGCGCTGCTCAGAAGCCCCGCATGTCTCGAGTCTGCCCCAGCTGTGCTCGACCCCCTACATCCTGATTCCTCGTGCTTGCCGCGAAGTCTTGCACACGCCGAGCCGGTATTGCTAGTGATGTCCTGTGCTCGGCCGGGTCTGATGATAGCATCGCCAGATCCTGCCCAGCTTGACCCTTCCATTCCAACTAGGGGCCTTACATGTCCAGGGCCGTTATTGTCGGCTCTAGACCTTTTGCAGCTCGAGTTCACCACGCTTGTGAGAGCATTTGCGCGCTCTGGGCTCGCATCACTGCCGAGAATGCTTGCACGGCTGGGGTTGTGCTTCTCTGCATGCGGCCTTTCCCGACCGGCCCTGTTGCCCTTTGCGCCGGACTTTGCCGAGTCAGGCTCCTTCATGTTGGCCCGAAGCCATGCTTGAACGGGCTCTGCTCCGTTGACCCTGGACTCTCTGGAACTTGGCTTCTTGCTTCTGCTCAGATCTACCACGTGCTCTGGGCCACCTTTTCCGACTCTTGGCTTGACGCGGCCTGGCCTCTTCCTGCCGGTTCTGGACAGCAGTTTATTCGGTCCGCCACTGTCCGTGCAATCTTCCTTCTGCCTAGGGTCAGCCTCCTTGGCATCGGACATGTTGCATCTGGGCTTTTCCGTGCCACCACAAAGCCCCGGCTGATTAGACCTGGCTTCGTTCATGCCCGGCATGTCGTGCATCGAAAGTCTCTCGCCGGTGTTGGATCTCGCTGCTCCCGGATCTGCGGTGATGGTCAGGAGCTTTGGCCGGCTCGGTTCAGCTGCACTGGCCCCAGACTCCCTTCACCCAGATACCTCGCTCCCTCCTAGAAGTTCTGCTAGGTCCGGTCCCACATCATTTGCCATGATGGGGGGGCGCCCGGGATCATCGTCGTTCGTCCCTGATCTCGCACACCTGGACTTGACACTGCCTGCACATAGCTTCGGCAGCTCTGACTTGCCACCGCTGCTCAGGAGCCTCGCCTGCATGGACTCGGCTTTTCTGCTGTGTGGACTGTCTTGCTTCGCGTCTTCTCTCTTGGCGCTGGATTGGGCTCACTTGGGTCTGGTGGCGTTGCTGCGGAGCTTCACTTGGACAGGCGCCCCAGTATTAGTCCCAGACTCTTTGCAATCGGGGTTTCCCACGTTCCTCCGGAGCCATGCTCGTTCGGGATTTGCTTCCTCGGCATGTGGGGCAATCAAAACCGACTTGACGACGTCTCTCCTGGATTTTGGCCTTTTGGACTCTTTGGCGTCCTTGCAATCGCTTGCCAGACCTGGAGCAGTCGTGCTGGCCCTGGACCTTTTGCATCTAGGCTCTAGCATGTTCTTTCACAACATGGCCAGATCAGATGCACCTTTCTCGACCCTGGACAGGGTTCGCTTCGAGGTTCTGCTGCTGGTCTCAGATCTTGTGCATTCCGGCTTCCTGTTGTCACCTCACAGCTCTGCGCATGTCGGTGCGGCAATGCTGGCGCCCCAGTGTGCCAGGATTGGTCCACTCTCGCTTTTGTCGGACCTTGCCATTTCAGATTTCTCGGTGCCTGTTCGCAGTCTTACGCACTCAGACTTGGCGGCTTCAGCACCCGATCTTCTCCATCCGGGCCCCATGCTGCCGGCGCAATCCTTCTCGAGCTTTGGCTCTTGTCTGTTGCTGCGAATGTTTGCATGTTCTGGTTTGGCATTCCCGCCATGTGGCATGAGCTGTTTAGAGTCTTTATTGTCAGTTCCAGACCACACTATTCTTGGCTTCGCTTTGCCCACCAGAAGCTCTGTGCGAGCTGGCCCGGCTCCTTCCGCTCTGGACTTTCTGCACTCAGGCCCTACGCTATCCTCGCGGCATATGGGTCGTCCGGGCTCCGCTGTGCCTTCGTCCGGCCTCTCACGGCTAGATGCCTCGATACTTTCGTCGGACTTCGCCCTCTTGGAGTCTCTTGCGGCAGTGCGATCCATGACCCGGCCGGGACTTGCCCTGTCAGCTTTGGACTCCTTACATCTAGGCAGCCTTCTGTCGCCCCGCAGCCTGGGCTGAGTTGGATCTGCCTTGCCGGCCTCGAAGATGTCGCGATCGGGCTCGGCCCTCTTCGCTCTGGATTCCGCGGTGCTGGAACCATCGACTTCGGCGCGGAGCTCTGCTTGCCTGGACTCGGCGGCTCCCATGCTGGACCTCCTCCGACTGGACTCCACCTTTTCCTCGCAATCCTGCGGCCGAGCTGGTTTGCCGATTCCGACTCCCAAAATCGGAAGTCCCGGCTTCAGTCTCCTTGTCTTGGACCTCGTTGAGCCAGGCCCTGCATTGCTGACACGAAGCCCTGCTCACTTAGATCTGTTGTCGTTTGCCCCGGACTTCTTGCACCCCGGCTCGAGTCTTCTGATGCGCAGCCACTTGCGCATTGGATCTTCGTCACTGCTCGTTGGAGTCACCAGGATGGGCCCAGGGCTGCTTCCTTTGGACTTCGTGCAGCCTGGCCTATTCCTTCTTTTGCGGAGCATGGGCCACTTGGAGCCGCCTTCGCCAGCTCTGGGCCGGTTCCGGCCTCGCTCTGCGCTGTTGGCTTCGGATCCTACGGACTCGGGCAGCGCGCCTTCCATGCGCAGCTTCGCCAGGCTGGGGTCGTTGCTCTTCGTCTTGGACCTCTTGCATCCGGGATCTGCCCTGTTGCTCCAAGGTCCCGCATGCCTTGAATCCATCTTTCCGGTGCTGGACCTCCTTGCGCTAGAGTCCTCACCATCACCTCGATCCCATGCGCAGGTGGGACTCCCACCGTCTGCTCTGGACTCTGCGACTTTGGGCCTGATGTTGCCTGTTCGTTCTCTCGTGCATCCAGACTTCGTCCTGCTCACAACTGACCATTTGATGCCGGGCTCCGCGATTTTCCTTCGATCCCTCGGCCGCTTGGGACCGACGGCGCCTGTGCTGAGGACTGCGGGGACCGGGCCGCTGCTTCCGACCTCGGATTTCGTCCATCCGGGAAGCGCCGCCTTGCTCCGAAGCTTTGGATGTTTGGGGTTCACGATGCCGGCTTTGGACTTCCTTCATCCGGGCTTGCTGCCGACCTCGCAGAGTCCCGTTCGCCTGGAAAGCATCTTGTTCATCTTCGGACAGGCGAACTTCGAACTGTCCTCGTTCTCGCTTGAGTACGCACTCATCGAATCAGCTACGTCGACCCAAAGCTGTGCAAGGATTGCGCCGGTGCCGCTAGTCTCGGACCTCGCACACCTGGGCCCACTTCTGCCACCCCAGCACTTCAGCCGTCCTGGCTTCATGTTGCCACCTTTTGGGCAGGCCAACCTAGGCAGCTCCCTGGCCGTGCTTGATTTCACAGCTTCGGGATCGCTGCCTTTGTTGCGCAGCCTCAGCAGGGTGGAAGCTGCACCGTTTGCGATGGACTTCTTGCACCTCGACTTGGGTCTCTCAACACGAAATCTTGCAAAACTGGGCCCTCCGATTTCCCTCTTCTCCCAGATCCGGCCTGACAGCTGCATGTCGGTTCTAGATCCTGCAGAGCTCGAACCCGCTGTGTCGCTGCGGAGCCTTTGCCACCTCGGCTTGGCCCATCCAGCTTTCGGTGTGAATCGCTTGGAGTCGAGTTTGCCAACACCCGACTCTGCGCTGTCGGAGCCCATCCTGCTTCTTCGGAGCTTCTCTTACCCTGGCCTGACCGCACTGGCTTCGGACTTTCTGCAGTCAGGCTTTTCTGCTTCTGTTCAGAACTACGCCTGCCTTGGCTCAGCCACTTTAGCACTTGATCCCCTTCACTTAGAGGTCTCGCTGCCTTTCAAAAGCCTCGGCCACTCGGGTTTGCCCACGCCTGCGCTGGATTCCGTTGACCCTGGGCCGCTGGTGCTCTCGAGGTCCTTTGCGAGATCTGATTCCACTTTGCCCGTGCTCGACCTTTTGCATTCAGGGTTCCTGTCGCTGTCGCAAAGTCATGACCACTTCGGTTTGGCTGTTCTTGTGTTTGGTGCTGTTCGCCTGGGCTCGTCCCCTTTGGTTCTTGACCTTGTGGCACTAGGATTCTGCATGCCCCTGCGAAGTCTCGTGTGTGCTGCACCGGGTCTGCTGGTCATGGATTTCCTGCGCCTTGACCCGTCGCCTTTGCTGCAATCCTCTGCGTGTTCCGGGCCTGTGACAGCTGCCTCCGGGGCCGTGGGCATTGGCTTCCCGATGCTAACCCCGGACTTCGCGACCTTGGGCTTCGTAGTGTTGCTGAGGTCTCCTGCTAGGCTAGATCCCGCAGTATCGACGCTGGACTTCTTGCAACTCGGCCCCTCTTTGCTGCCACGCTCATCTATGCGGCCAGGATCGGCTGCGTTCGTACCAGATCTTGGTATGATAGGGCCTTCAACATCAACAAGAAGCCTGGCACACACAGGCTCTTCAACCTTGATTCCTGACTTTGTACATGTCGGCTCGAGCATGCCTGCAAGATCTGCGGCTTGTTCGGGATTGTCATTTCCTGCCCTCGATCTTGTGCATCCTGGAGCTCCGTTGTCGCCACGCCGCCTGGATGCAATGGAGCCGTTCTGAAGTCAAGCTGTGAGTACGTGTGATCAACTACAATCATAGAGAGCACAGAGGAAACAAGTTCTGCATACCTGAACCTCCCAGTCCGCATCTTCAGCCTGACACACAACCCCGGAGCAAGCCTGGCCTTGAATTCAGGCTCTCTTGCACGCCCCGGCTTCCCTCCATCCGTGCAGGGCTTGGGCCGGGAGTCGGGCATGATAGTGGGTGCACCTGCAGCATGATCGTGGCATGAGAGACCACTTTGAAGCCTGCTCGGCATGGACTAGGTCCTGGTAGACTAGTCATGTGTCATCAAAGTACAAGTCAGCAAAGATGCAATCACTCGGGCGTAAACTCTGAGGTCTCAGACTTGGCTCACTCCGGCAGTTCGTCGCTAGCGCACAGCCACGCTCTTCTGGGCCCGATGTCATCAGCAATCGACTACCTACATTTGGAGTCGTCAGTTTTCACCAGGAGCCAGGGTGGAGTTTGTGGCAGTTTGTGAGCTGATCAGAGCCTGGCCGTCTTCGCTGAAGGAGCTACGCTCGTCTGGGAGTGATCACCTCCGCCTTCGGATTCACACGAACGGACTCTGTCTCGTCTGCTCGGCTGGTGTTTAGGAAGTCTCGACGTCGAGTGTAGCTCTCGGCCGTGCCAGGTCAGTGCCGGATTCCGCCTCGCTCGGCTTCGCGCTGCCCCTTCGCTCCTCCGGAAGGTCGGAATGTTTTTGCTTCTTTATCGGGACTTCATCAGGCATAAGGCTTCTAGAAGGGATTTGTAAGGGTTCTTTGTCAGGGCTCAATATCAGAGCTGTATAAGGGTTTATTATTCACGAGTGCGTCCGGCATCACAATTAGAAGAAGCCTGAGCCTCAGCCTCTCCATCTGCCCTCCCCACGCTGTGGCTTCGGAAGGCCTGGCCCAACGATGCTCGCGCCGGACTTTTTGTACCTCGGCAGCTCTCTGCCGCTTCGCAGCCCGAGCAGAGCTGGGTCAAATCCTTCAACCTTTGGACAGGCCGGGCACCGAGTCGAGTGAAAAGGGATTATATATATATATATATATATAGCTATATATAGATGAATGTTGTTGTTTTTATGTGCAGAGCACTTGCAGAACCGAGGTTTGCATGGGCGCTTTGCCATTGACTTCGGACTATGCCCTCTTGGGGTCCGGGACGTTGCTTCGGAGCTTTGTCAAAGTGAGCTCAGCTCTACCGACTGTGGATTTTGTTCATCTGGACCCAATGTCGTCGCTTCGCTCGTTCTCTCACTTGGGTTCGATTGTCTTCCCTTGCGACTACTCCACTTTCGAGGCATTCCTGTCAGCTCAAAGCTTCTTCTGCTCAGACTTTCCTGCTTCCATACTGGACCCCATGCACTTTGGGAGCGTGATATCAGTGCAATCTTTGGTGCACTCGGGCAGCTTTTTGTCTGTTTTGGACTCTGCTGAGATGGCTTCGATGATGCTTTCGAGGAGCTCTGCTCAAGCCGGAGCAGCCGTTTCTGCGTCGGACTTGGCATACCTTGGCTCCGCTCCTCCTTCGCGAAGCTCTGCTTGCTCGGAAGCATCTACGCTCGTTCCCGACTCCTCACACACAGAGCTTTCCTCGCTCTTGCAATCCTTCGGACGTCCCGACACAGCTTCGCCATGTCTGGGAGTCAGTCGGACGGGCTTTTTGACGTCCATACTGGACTCCGTGCTTGCAGAGTCCCCAGCTCCCTTAAGGAGCCTTGCACGCCCCGACTCGGCAGCGGCAGCTTTTGACTTCTCCCGGTCAGGTTCCCCTACGCTTTCGAGGAGCTTCGGAAGAACGGGTTTCAGCTCTTCGGTTTCTGGCGTCGCTAAGCTTGACTTCCCTGCATTGGCCCTGGACCCTACTGGGCTGGGAGCTTCTTTGCTTCCCAAGAGCTTTGCGCAACCTGAGCCAATCCTGTCCTCAACGGATCTCCTACGCCTTGGCTCGATCCTTCCGATGCACAGCTCAAGCAGAGCTGATGTGACCCTATTGACCTCTGGATTGAGAGGACCTGGTCCTCTGCCGTTTGCACCGGACTATGTCTACATCGACCCTGCTTTGCCGCCTCGAAGTTGCAGCTGGCCGGACATGGCTTTGATGGCTTTGGACTTCCTCCACTCAGGCTTGGCCACGCCTTCGCAAAGCTTTGCCAGACCTGGCCTTCAGTCCCCTGCCTTTGGTCTCAGTCACTTTGACCTTCTGGCTTTGATTCTGGATCTCGTGACACTTGGTGCAGCAGCACTGATCAGGAGCTCTGTTCGATCAGAGTTCCTTCTTCCAGCCCCTGACCTCGCCCATTCAGGCCTGCCGTGTTCATTCCACAGTTCTGCATGCCTTGATTCCTCTCTGCCTACTATGGACTCTTTGGAATTGGAGCTGATGCCTGCAATCCATAGCTCCGCGCGCTGCGACTCGCAATTTCTAGCTTTCGGAAAGACTCGCTCCGATCTCACCCTGCCTGCAAGGAGCTTCGTGACTTTGGGTTTAGTCATGTTGACTTCTAGCGCGGCTCGGCTTGGAGCGGCTTTGTTTGCCTTGGACTCTTCCCACTTTGGCTCTTCGGCGCTCATGCAAAACATGGGGCGTCTGGGCCTTTTGCCTCCTGTCTTCGACTTTCTTTATACGGAACCATCGGCATTGATTCAAAGCTCAAACAGGCTGGGCTCCAGTGCACTTTTGTTTGGCATTGCAAGGACGGCGTTGCCGGCACCTACTTTGGACCACGTGCACATGGGCTCCGCTATGCCAACACGAAGCTTCGTTTGTTTGGGATTGGTGATGCCAGTTCCCGACTCCTTGCATCCCGATTTACCCTTACCTCCACAAGCACACTCTCGCCATGGCTTCATCGCATTTCTTTTCGGCTTGGCTAGGCTGGGCTTTGTGTTCAGCCTGCCGGTCATTAGCTCTACCAACTCCGGCTCGCCTCTCCCACTGCGCAGCTCCCTGCGCCATGGCAGCGCGGCGCCGACGCTGGATCTCCTGCATTCGGGCCTGCTTTTGCCGTCGCGTTCCTCCGGAAAGCCGGAAGCCGCAGCTTCAATGTTTGGCATCGCTTGTTCCGGGCCACTGGTTCTGGCCTCGGACTTCGGGATTCCCGGCTTTCTGCTGCCTCTGCAAAGCTACGTTCGCCTTGGGCTGGGCCCTCCAGTTCCTGACCTCTTGCACATGGGCTCTCTCTTGCCTTTGAGGAGCTTTGGTCAACTGGGATCCTCGGTTTTCGCCCCGGATTCTTTGCACTCGGATGTGCCTTTGCTTCTCAGGTCCTTGGCGCGTTCAGACTCGGAGCTCCCTGCGACGGGCGTTCTCTGCTCCGGCCTTTCCTTGCCGGCTCCGGACTTCTCGGACTTAGGCTTGCTCACATCACCTCGGAGTCTGTGCCGCACGGCCTCCTCGCTGTTGGTACCCGACCCTTTGGAGCCGGGCAGCTCCTCGTTTCTGCGATCGCCTGCTTGGGCGGATCCTGTGATGTCTGTCCTGGACCTCCTCCATCCAGGCTTCAGCCTCTTCTTGCAATCCTTGGGCCACACGGATGCCGTGTCTCCAGCCTGTGGCCTTGTGAGACTTGGACTGCTGGTACCTGCGCCTGAATCCGCGGAGTCAGGATTTCTGATTTTCATAAGGAGTTCCACGAGACTCGAGCTCGTTTCTCCAGTGTCGGACCTTCTTCATCCAGGCCTTTCCTTATTGGTGAAGTCGATGGCGTGCATCGGCCTTAGCTCATCTGTGATGGACTTCCTGAGGCCAGACTTGATCACGTCCTTGCGCTCACTCGCACAAGCTGAACCGACTCTTCCGTCCATGAGCGTGACGAGACTCGAGATTTCCTCGCTTGTTTTGGATTCCACCCACCCCGAACCACTGCTTCTGCTGCGGAGCCCTGTGCACTTGGGACCCCTGGCATCGGCCTTGGATTCTCTACGCACGGGCCTTTTCTCGGCCTTGCAAGGCCCCGCAAGGCCGGGATCTACAATGTCGCCGCTCGGACTGTCCTGCCTTGGCTCTGTTTTCTTGCTGCTGGCGACAGACCATACCCACTTTGGCAGCTCAGCATCAACGCATAGCGTGCTACGAACGGGCTTGGCACCGTTGGCATCAGACCCCCTTCACCTTGAATTCGTCTCATCATCGAGGACTTTCGCTCGTTTGGGGCTGGCCGTCTTTGTATCGGACTTCCTTCATCTCGGCGTGTTTGTCTCTTCGCGGAGTTCTGGTCGAGCAGGGTTGCCCACGCCAGCTCCGGCCTACGCACACCTCGACTTGGCTTTGTCTGTGCGATCGATCGCTCACCTTGACCTGGCGCTCTTCGCCCCTGACTCCTTGCACTTGGGCCCGGCGTTGAGTTTGCGGAGCTTTGAATGCCTTGGCCCAGCTTTTCCAACTTTGGGTTTGGGTCGGTCAGGTTTTCTTCCTCTGGTCCTGGATAGTGTGCAATTAGGACTTGCCCTGCTGACACGAAGCCGCGCAAGGCCTGACCCAGTCTTATCAGCACTGGACTTCTTGTGCCCCGGCTTGGTGCTTTTGCCCAGAGACTCCACCTAACCGGGCTTGGCCTTTCTGGTCTACGGCTTCAGCTGCACAGGTTCACTGCTCTCGGCGTCAGATTGTGTGCAGTGCGACCCAACCACACCCCTGCGCAGCTACCTTCGTCCGGAGGTCATCTCACCAGTTTCTGACTCCCAAGAGGTAGGCTCTTTGCTGCTCCCGCGGAGCCTCTCCCATACCGACATTGCCATGCCCATCTCCGGTGCCAAGTGCCCCGATGCTTCAATGCCCGGCACTAAGACTTAAAGCATTGGAGTAGCTGCTTCCTTCTTCCTCGCCTGATGTGCAGTTGTAAGTGATCACGTGATTTGTTTCCTGCTGTCTGAGGCCTGTACCCGACTTCTCTTTGTCTGGTTCGCCCTTTTCCGCGAGATCTACGGTTCGTTCGGCTTCATCTTTGCCGGCACCAGACTCCCTTCACTCAGGCCCGAGCACATTGCTGCAGAATTCCGTGGCTCGGATGCAGTCCGTTCAGCTGAACACACCTGTGATGTAGTGTAGAGTGTAGGTGGTTCATTAGCGCTCCCTGTGATTCCGATTGTCGAAGGCATGCGCTGGCCCCCTCTCCATGGTTTTCGGAATGGCTTGTCATGGATCCATGCCACCGGTGCGCAGCCCTGGGACGTCGGGATCGGCGTCTCCATTGTCCGGCTTATCCAAACTGGAATCGAGCACCTAAGCTGTCACTTTCGTCTGAGAGTGCCGTGTGACTGGTGTGTGTGTGTGTGTGTGTGTGGACCTCTGTTACCAAGAGGAACCGTTTTTGAAACACGTTGGACTGTAGTGCTGAATTGCTGAAAATAGCAGGGGGGTACGGCTCTCTGATGCTACCGTACCCAACGAAGCTATGCATCAGAGAGGGAAGCCAAGCCTGATCAGCTTGGTGTACCTGCAAGTGTGTCTGCAAGTGTCTCTGCAAGTGATATGGCTTGGGGCTAAGCCTAGAACCCCAATGGAAATCGAATGTGCAGGTTTGGAGGAGTTTGCCTTGTACAGTGAATAAGTCTGAGATCAAGCGAAGATGAGCCTTGAGGCCAGATTGGTACCGGACCCCCCTGGAAGCTTCATGCTTTCGAGATACATCAAGCTGTGCTTGATAACCAAATTGATTAGTGGCTGCGCGATGGATGTCTAAGTGTGTCCCAGGTAGTTACAAGCTGGTCTTGTATTCGTTTACCGCGCTACCTGCGGCGGGGTTAGCCCGTGCGAGTACCTGCCAGGGTGGATCTGATAAAGGCAGGGATACATTGTTTTGGGCCCGTCGTGGTCCTCACAGATTCGACTGAATTTGCTGCTCCGATGGTGCAGACATCTGATTACCTCAGTCGTGATGTTTTCTCCGCTCCTGACTTAATGTCAGGTTTGATGCCAGGTTTCATTGCAGGTCCTGAATTTTTGCAGATCCGATGGAACCAACGGCTTTTCTATCCGCAGACCACGATTTCAGCTCCGAGACACAAGCCTTTAGCAATCTCTTGCGGTCATGTCGTGGACCCGTGAACAAGATTGGGCCAAGTCGTCCTGGGCTAGTTCGTCTTGGGAGAAGAAAGGATCGTCGGGTTGGAACAACCGTGACTGGCAAAAATCTCCTCAACAGTCTGTTCCCAGCGCCAATGTTGCTATCCCATCGTCTTTTACCAGTGACTGGGAGTGTTACGACAAGAATGCTGTTTCTGGCAAGAAGTTTTTTCGTAACATCCAGTCCACGCCCTGGTCTACGAAAGCGGGACTGGCTGGAAAAGATGTCGCCGATCTTCGTGTTTCAGACCTGACCAGAAAAGGTCTTGATGACTTCAGTCTCCGCTGTTTGTCCAATGGAGAATTTCAAAGCTTAGTGTTCGTGAGGTCGATTTCAGCAGCAGTATTTGTGACTAACCTGCTTCGTCATATCCGGCAAGACCGTATCGATCTTGATGCCGTGGCTGCAAATATGCACGGCCCAGCTCCGCCTGATAAGCACAGGGAGTCTGCGAGATTTATGCAACCATTGCTCGGCGAGATTGTTTCAACAATCAAAGCCAACTCGCCCCCTTCGGCGGATTCAAGCCAGCAATCGCCTGAGAGTGAGCAGCTTGCTCGTGCGAAGCGAAAGTTGAAGAAGCTGGGATTGCTCTTACTCCTGAGAAGAAGCAGGCCAAAACTGGCCCAAAGCCCACCGCTTCACCTTCACAGTCAGCTGAGCAGATTTTGAATGCGGAACTCCCAAATCCGCCGAACTCTGTTCCGAGTTCCAGCTCCCCTGCTGTTTTTGAAAAATGGCTCAAAAAGCATCAGAGCCAGTTTCGTGGTCAAGCTGCAGCTTTTAAGAAACATGTGGCTGATGTTTGCTCTGTGCTGAAAGATTCAGCCACTGATCGACAAAGCCTGGCAGATCTCGCTATCAAGTACGGCTTGAAGAAAAGCCATGCCAGCAAGATGTCATTCACCAATCTGTCTTCGTTCATTGGTGCATGTCAGTTTGAATCAGCTTGACTAGCTACCCAAGCAAAAACGGTGCAACATCAGCCGATTCAGGTCCGTAAGAGGCTTGCTTCAGCAGTGTGCACGCTTGGTACAGCAGCAGCTTTCATGTTGGAGTTTGGCGATGGAATACCCAAGACTCCGCTGATTTGGGTGCATACATTGATGTCGTTGGTGTTGTTGTTTTACCTCAATGCACCCAGCCAAAATGATTCGCACAGAATCAAGATTGTTCGGAGATTGCAGCAGTTCGGAGTGGATCCAGATACTCTGCACTATTCTCTGTTTGAGAAGCCGAACACTGTATATTGCATTTTTCAAGTTGATTTCGACATGGGTCGATTTCGTTCGGGCTACCGTCAGCCCTCATCACTTCTGTATGTGGGAAGCACTGCTGTCGGTGCAGCCAAGCGGCATTTGAACCGCATGGCAGTCTACAGAAGACTTCAAAGAACCGAATTTGTGGATGCAGAATTGTCCCTGAGATATTGGGCATCCCAACACAACCTTTTCCAGTTTGTGCTTGTTCCGCTGGAATTTTGTGACAGCTACCAGCGAGCTTGGACTGTTGAGCACGAACTCATTGCTCAATGGCAGGCACCTTTGAATTATCCCAGAGCAATGTCTCTCATTAAGAAGACCGCTCTCGGTTTCCGAATTTCGTCCAAACGCAGAGGGTCATTGTATTGCACCTTTGGCCTCCGACTTTGGCGCAAACTGCGAAAGCGCATGTTTGGTCGCAGTTCGAAATTCTTCATTCATGACTCTCGGGAATTAGCCTGGGGGCTTCTATTTAAGCTGGCATCGAGAACCCGAGCATCCTTTGAAACAGCGAAGCTGCTCCGATCCAACAAGACGGCTGACGAGGAAGTGTATGCCCTCATCAAACTCAGTCGCAATATCGAAAACCCTCATCGCAACAGGGTGCAAGGAATACTCAAAGGTGTAGCCAAGTTTCGCAAGAAGATGCACTGGCCACGGACTTCCCGACCTTTGGGAGTCCTGCCAACTGCGTCTCCTTCGTTTTCCAAGGAGTGCGAGAAGTGGTTAAAAGACCTCATCCTCCGGTATAAGTATCTTTTTCCATCTTTTCATGTTCCAAAGAACAGCCTACGTGAAGTTCCGCACCAGAGTATCAAGAAATTTCTCCACAACTTCCGATCTTGGGAAGAAACGATGTGGGAGCACGACTTTGATTTGGAGTCGGTGCACTGTCCGTGTGAGCAGTTTGCAGGAAAACTTCCTGCTCATTGCTTCGTGTCTGGCCACGTAGCCACAGGTTTGGAGAACCTGACCAAGCTACTACCAGGCTGTTCGAGCATCTTATCGGCCAGTGCCGCGAGCACCTTTTTCCCAGGCCGCAATCACTGGATGGCCAAGTCCAGAGCTCTGTTTGATCAGTGGCTCAAGAGACACAAGCTACCAGCGACGTTGCATCCAATTTTTCAATCCTTTTGTGACCACCAGTGGCAGCAACATGTTGCAGCCCTGGAACAATCAGACAGACTACACTGGGCTTTGGTACAGAAGGTGAAGTCTGCCTTGCACTCGGATTTTGTTCTGTACAACGAAGATCATCATCCGAATCATGTCGTGTGCTATTGTCCTCGCTTCTTCCTTCGAGGAGTTAGCACCACATGGAACGATCCCTCTGTGTTTCGTACTCTTGATGGTACCCCTGAAGAATGGAGACAGCGCATTTTGAAGCGCGTTCCTCGAGATCTGTCCAGAAGATACGCCTGGGCCTTCAAAGAAGCAGCTCCGCTGCCTCAAGGCACTGTGTTCCTGAAACGGAAGAAACAGTTTGCCAAGGGACGGACCATCATTTCGTATTCCAATTCGTTGTGCAGCAAGCTATTGGAGCTGACCTCCATTGCGTTAACCTTAATGGTCAAGACGCTGTTTGCTGACAGCCCAGGCATGCAGAGCATGCCACAGCTCTGGAGGTCTCTTCATGCTTATTGGGCGAAGCCCAGCCAAGAGGAAGACGTCGAATGGAACGACGATCTCGTGGGATTTTTCAATGCAGTTCCCCGAAAAGACATCATGCACGCAGTGCATTTGATTGTCCAAGAATACTGCCAAACTTCTGGCTGTTCGATCCTCTCGATCGATATGTTGTCAAAAACGGGACACCCGGGCAAACCTCGGGGGAGAACGAAATCAAACTTAAAGAGGTGTTGGGTTTCTGATGTTCCGCTGATTGTGGATCTATCCTTCGCCACGGGAGTTTTTACAGCTGCTGGAAAGTGCAGGCAGCAAGTGGAGGGGACGTGTATAGGCAATCAAATATCGCCGATCCTCTCCGGACTTCCTGTACTCCTGGCCGAGCGGCAGTTTTTGCAATCTTTGCCGACGGCCATCCAATCGTCTTTCTTGTTTCTCCGTTACGTCGATAACAGACTGATTCTGGGACCTCAGAAAATTCTACTGTCGTCCCAACTCCGGAGATTCTGCGATCCCAACTTTTATGATGGGATTCAGTTGGAAACTGTGTCAGACCATCAATGGTTGGGTTTTACCATTTGTGCCAAGACTCGCTCAGCAACTTTTAATCTCCCGGAGCAACCGTGGCAGATCCGCTCGCCCAACAGCGCTGGATCGTGGCAGCTGGCAGCCTCGGGATACTTTTCTCGAGCATCTTTGATTCGCCAGTATTCCTGGCCCCCCGAGTCAAGACCGGGACAACTTCGCAGACTCAAGCAACTGTATGTACAGGCAGGTTTTCCTGTGAATGCGTTGCAATGAAGTCAATAAACAAGCCATTCGATTGAGAGTTTCGCTGCCTCTTTGCAATGTTGTTGTTCCTAATTGTGCACGTGAGTTACTGATTCAGTACCATAGCTACATTGGTTTTCAGCTGGGTATCGGCCTGTTGAAGGAATATTTCAACCCCGAGCCATGGCCCAGCAATACCATTTTCACTTCTACGGAGGACCCCCTGGAGTCCAGACTTCAAGCGGACCACAACCTCCGGTTACAATTCTTTCGACTCCTCAGGAAGCTAGCAGAGCTCGGTCGGTTTCGGTACACCCACCACCTCGAGCTCCGCTTCCAATTCAACTCACACCGGGTGAGCCGGCCAGGTCTACTCACCCCAGCCGTGAGCGTCATGATCGCAGTCGCTCGAGACGACGACGGCGTCGACACCATCGGCATGAACGTCAACCTGAGGGACCTCCCGCGGCCCCAGTTCGACCAGTTCTGCCTCCCCCGCAGCCTCCCACTCGACCACCAACAAGGTCGGTCAGTGCAGTTCCTCCGATGCGCCCACCTTTTCGTTCTGCCAGCTTAAAAAACATGCCACCCCGGCCTAGACCGAGATCTATTGAGCCGGATTCTGTCCGTTCCCGGCCTCATGAAAACAAAGGGCCCAGCAACAGTCCACAGCGACCGCCGGGGCAATGGGTACCTACTGTTCCCGCTGGGACTCTGAGCCAAAGGCCAGTAACACCCAGAGTTCGAGCTCCTGCTTCACATTCTCAAGCAGCTACTGATACATTACATCGGGCTGCTCAAGCTTTTGGAGCTCCCGGCAATGCACAAAGCAAACCGGAGACAGGCCCGATTTTGAATAACAAGGAGCCTGTTGCAGCAGCTCCCTCACCGGAGTTTCACAAGAACACGGCGCCCAAGACACCTCCCAAGAACTCGGCTCCAAAGAGCCCAGTTCCTCCTGCGCAATCTGGTTTGATTTCTGTTGATGAGGAACAGCTATTTCATGCTGCTCATCGCAGCAGTTATGAACAACTGCGAGAGCAAATCACAGCTCGAGCCAAAGGCCGCAATGCTGTCGATTTCTATGAGGAGGGAATGAGTTCTCTCTTGGCGTATATGTTCTTTGTTTTGCATTATCATGAGAACTTTCTCACAACAGAAGGCTTGCATACGTGGCCTATTATCCCACATTCTCATATGCGACGATTCACTGATCGCATCACCTTTACTCGGCAACGTTCATTGCCAGTCTCAAAAATCCTCAAAGAGGATGTTGAGGAGGTGCTGAAATTTTTGTTGACCCGATTTGGCCAGGCAGACCGACCTTTTCTGCCTGTGATTCCTATTGGCCAACGGGAGGTTGTCACTCTTGCCCGGTCCATTTTGGCCAGCAAGATACCATATAAGACAATTTTTCAGCATGATGCCAAGGCGTATGCCATGCCCCAAGAAGCATTGCATGTTTGGGAGTTTCCAGTGGCACATATGCCAGGACCTGAAGAGCAGACCAACTGCTATTATCTTTGGGGACACGGGACCACGGCCGAAGGCCTGGTCGGCATCCTCACGTTGGGCAGAGTCATTCGCTCTAGCGCCGAAGCTGTACATGTGGCGCCGCACGATCATGTGTGCTCCTTTTATGGCAAAGCCACACAACACGTGCACTATGAAGAGAGCAAGTTAGACTTCGTGTCAAAACTACACCACTCCACGAAGAATTCCGCAGGAGTGGTCGTGGGAGGATATCTTGGATCTGCGCATCACAAATCCAAGTCCTCCAGCACTGTACATGAAGGACATTTGTGCAAGTTCCACCCGCTTGTACACTCCCCTTCAGGAGATAAGCGCTGGGCGGTGCGTGAAGCCGCAGGACGCATTGACAAAATTTGGATTTTGTCAAGCACCCATTCCGTTACGTTGCCGATGTCCACCCCCAACAATCCCCGGCCGATTACTTTTGAAACGGGGGACGGCCAGGATTGGGGAGTCAGCTGGCCTGGCTTGGAGTACTCTGTACGAAGCACCGAAGCTTTACCGGTCTCCGATGTACAGAGAGAGGCTTAAGATACATGGAGTCTTTCATGCATGAAAAAAGACTGTTGCAATACAGAATGTATATGCAGAAGAGTCTTGCATGCAATGTGTCCGCTTAGGATCTTTAAATTGCGTTGTTCAGTTCCAGCGTTCGGCTTTCAGCGGTACACGCCATGTCGGATCGATCCCGATCGCGTTCTCCGACTGTTTCGTGGCGATTTTATTGGGTGAAAAATCAAGGACCCAATGGCAATGAAACGTGGTGGAAATCTTGGTTTCCCGCCACCTCTCGCTGGATTTCGGATCGTTTGGCTGCTGACAATCAGTGGCACCAAGCTTCTCAGACCACTTCTTCGGTGGACTTGAACCTCCCTACTGAGAGCGCTAATTCTTTGTCACCCCGAAAACGCAAGCGAGATGCATCACCGTGAGAGCTTTTGTTATGCTGGAACAGCAGACGACTTGTCTGCTTAATTCGTTTTCCCAATTGACATTTTTGGGACTTTCATCATTACTGGATTAGAGCGCCTGCACCACTGAAGTGGAACCGTCTTTGCGCACTGCAAAACAGCGCGTAGCAGCGTTACGCTCGGTTTTATGTCTCTTTCGCCCTTTCTCTCTCCCCTCTCTCTCTCTCTGTCTCTCGTGAAGCCGAAGGCGTTTTTCCTTTTTTACTCATGTGGTGCCGCCAGCCGTTTCCGTCTTGAATTCTCGACACACCGGCATGGCTTCCCGTCAAGACAACGGGGTACCATATGATGAACTTCCTGATGATGCCAGCTCCTGGTCTTCGGCTTTCGATCCTCCCAAAGACTCGGCACCCACAGAGGTGGCGTCTTGTGCTAAGAAGTCCTCCAACAAGTGCAAGAAGACCAAGAAGTCCAAGAAGTCCAAAAGGCTGAAAAAGGACCGGTCACCAAATAAGTCTCCGAAGTCCATGAAATCTAAGAAGGACAAACGTGAGCGTTCACCTGTTCCCTCTGAAGCGAGTGATATCACGCTTGGGGATCCGATGCAGTTTCACCGAAATCCTGCAGCACAGTCAAAGGCTTGTGCAAAAATGCTGGTCAGAGCTAACCTCCGTTGTGCTTGCCATTTTTGGTATGTTGCACAGTGTCCCAACCGAAACGTTTGATTCGTATTTTGATTTGGACACCGGACGTGTACAGGATTACATGTCACTTGCTGGAAAAACTACCAGAGATTCTTGGCATGACCTTGTGACCTGACTCACATTTTTCTGCCCTGCATACAGTGAGAGCATTCGCCTGTACAGTTTTCCTGCTCCCACGCAACAGCGACCCAGTGTACGTGTAGCTTTTTCTGCCATGAAACGAGATGCTGCACAAGCGTCGCTTCCACCTGATGGCGAAAAAGATGATGATCCACTTATTCTCCCTCGGACACCGAAACATCTGCCTCCGTTGCGGATGACCCGAGGATTCTGGATTGAAAATCTGCTTCTGGTGGCCGCCATCATGGTGCCACGGTTGCATGTTTCGACATTCCGGCCGAAGGCATTATCGACGACCTTAAAGAGATGATCAGTTTGGAGTGGAATCGCATCCCCAAGCGTACGTTTAAACTTACGCAAAACGGGACGCATTTACCGTACTTTGTCAAACTCAGTACTGTCAACAATACAGTACCATTGACCTTTCACTGGGCTGAGCCATATTCGGACGAAAACCGTCCTCGTTTGGAGTCCAGACCCTAGGTTACTTCGCCTTAGTGGCTTACTCCTCTGTTACCAAGAGGAACCGTTTTTGAAACACGTTGGACTGTAGTGCTGAATTGCTGAAAATAGCAGGGGGGTACGGCTCTCTGATGCTACCGTACCCAACGAAGCTATGCATCAGAGAGGGAAGCCAAGCCTGATCAGCTTGGTGTACCTGCAAGTGTGTCTGCAAGTGTCTCTGCAAGTGATATGGCTTGGGGCTAAGCCTAGAACCCCAATGGAAATCGAATGTGCAGGTTTGGAGGAGTTTGCCTTGTACAGTGAATAAGTCTGAGATCAAGCGAAGATGAGCCTTGAGGCCAGATTGGTACCGGACCCCCCTGGAAGCTTCATGCTTTCGAGATACATCAAGCTGTGCTTGATAACCAAATTGATTAGTGGCTGCGCGATGGATGTCTAAGTGTGTGTGTGTGCGCACTGTCTGTCTCTCTGTCTGTTTCTCTCACTCTCCCTCTCGATCTCTCTCACTCTCTCGTTTTCTCCCTCTTGTCCCGGAAACAACTTGGGACATCATGACTGTTTCTCCAAGGTTTGTCGGCGCCGGACTTCACCCCTCCAGGCTTCAGCATGTTGCCCCGGAGCCCTGTTCGCGCTGGAACCTCTGCCTTGGCCCTGGACCTCGCCAACATCTTTCCGCCGCTGCCTTCGAGGAGCTTTGGAAGGCGAGATGCTGCATAGGACTGCATGTCTAGAGTTTTAGGGATTAGGGATTAAGGCCGATTAGGGTTTGGGGATTCGGGTTTAGGGTTCGGGGATGAGGTGCAACAGACCCTGGGACTTGGGAGATTTTGGCCCCCAGGCCAGAAGCTTTTATGCCAGCACCTGGCGCCACTTGCCTTGGCGCGCCACTCTTGGCCCTGGCCTGGCACTCGGGATCACTCCGGTCAAAGTACTTCCAACGTTCTCAGTTGGCGCGCTTTTTGAGTAGATACATGTAATCCTATATGGCACCTCTGTCTAGTCTATATACCTTAAACGTCCAGCAGTCGGCAGCCCAGCATTGAGGATTTCGTTGCTCCGGGATTACCAATGCTGCCTCGAAGTTTGGCGTGAGTGGAGCTCGTGGCTTGGCAAAGCAAGTCGTCGTGAAACTGCGGGTTCGATGACGTTCTTTTTATCTGCCTGCCTGCCTGCTTGCCTGTCTGTGCTCTCTGTACTTGTCGCTTTGTCTTCTTGCCTTTGCACAGGTGCCGACGTTTCATTTCGGTATGCATCCCTCTCGGTCTCTCGTCCTCTCTACGTCTCCGCATACGTTTTGCTAAGCCGCAGACGGCGAAGGGCGCAGAGTTCGTTTGCGCTTTGCGCTCAGGCCATCCCGATCCTTGACATGCTGGCACTGGAAAGCTTCTTGCTGATTCGAAGCCCTTGTCGTGTGGGGCTTGCTGCGTTTCCTCTGGACTTCCTGCATCTTGGTTCATCAACGCTGTTACACTCATCTTCACGACTGTCATTGTCTTTGCCAGTTCTGGGAGGAGGTCGTCCCGGTTCGCCACTTGCAGTGCCCGACTCCGGTTGTCTGGAGCCCATGCTTCCGATGCAAAGCCTGACTCATCCAGGCCTCGTGACACTGGTTCCAGACTCACTTCACCTGGACTCCACGCCTCCTCTACACCACTTCGGGCGGATTAGCTTACCGTTGCCTGTTGCAGGGATGTTGCGTTCAGAGCTGCTGACGTTTGTCTTGGACCTAGCCCATTCAGCTGCATCTTCGGCCCTTCGCAGCTTTGGTTGGCCCGGATCCTCTCTCCTGGTCACGGGCAAAGTGCAGCCGGGCTTTAGCCTGCCACCTCTCGACTTCGCTCAAGCGGAGTCCGTGACTCTTGCAAGAAGTGCTGCCAGGATGGCGCCTCTTCCGTCTGTGCTGGACTTTTTGCACATTGAGCTGACCCTGCCGATGCGGGGCTTTACAAGAACGGGATCTCTCTCGTCAGCATCCGGGGATATTAAGTTTCCAAGTGGGTTTCTCCATGAGAACCTATCGGTTCTTAGCCGGAGTAGATTCGAACCCTTCTTGCCGGTGCTGGATTGGTCAAACTTCGGCTCCGCGTCGCTTCTGCACTCCTTGGCCCGTTTGGGCATCTTGCTGCCGGTGCTGGACTTCCTGCATATGGACTCGCTGACGCTTCTGCAAAGTCCTGCCTGAACGGGCCTAGCCGCTTCGACTACGGGCATGTCTCAGTTCAGCCTTCCTTCGTCGGCGTCAGATATTGTTGCTTTAGGGCTTGCGCTGCTTCCCAGGAGCTCCGTGCGTCTCGAAGCTGCCCCTTCGGCCGCGGATCTCGTGCACACGAGCCTGCCTTCAGCGCTGCGAAGCTCAGCACACCTCGGTCCTCCACCCTCGCTCGTTGATTTCATCAAAATCGATCCTCCAGTCCCTGTGAGAAGATCTGCGCAACTGGGTTTCGCCATGCTGGTCTTGGGGATGACACGCTTTCATTCTAGCCTGGCTGTGCTGGACCTTCTGCGTCCAGGCGTCCCGATGCCACTTCGAGCTCATGCTCACACTGGTCCGGTAGCACCAGTCTCGGACTCTTTGCATCCTGATCTCCCGTTGCCTTCGAGGAGCCCTTCCCGGCCAAGTTCGCTTCTTCCGATTCTGAGCGTTGTAGGCTCTGGCTTCACTTTGTTGGCGTCAGATCCTGCAGAAGTTGGGCTGATAATGTCCTTGCACAGCCGTGCTTGTTTGGGCAGCACCGCGCCAACCATGGAATCTGCATTCCCGGACCTGATTCTGCCCTTGAGAAACTACGGCCGACCAGCTCCCACATTTTCTGTATGTGGGCTGTCTCGTCTGGAAGCGTCTTCGCTTGTGCCAGACCCTGTTCAGTCTGCGCCCTTGACTTCACTGCACAGCCTTGGCTGCTTGGGTAGCGCACTGCTTCTGCTAACCGTGGCAAGGTCGGGATCGTCTCTCGTTGCATTGGATCGCATCAACTCGGGACCGCTCTTGTTGTCGCGAAGCCGTGCATGCCTGGGTACTGCCCTGTTTGCGTTGAACTCTGCTCACTTGGACCTGGTAACACCGATGCACTCGTTTTCGCAGGTTGAACCCTTGATATTTCCGCCGGGCATCTCTCATTCGGGGTTCGTATTCTCGCTCCTAGTGATTGAATCTGGCCACTTGGGCTTCCAGCCATTCTCACGAAGTTGTCTACGATCAAGCTCTGCAGCCTTCGCACTATGTGCTTCGCGTTTGGAGCCTTCCCCATCTCCGAGGCAATCGGCTCGCCTCGAATTCACTTCGCTGGTGATGGGAGCTGCGCGACCCGAAGCTTTGCTGGTTGTCCTGGAC